AAAAATTGGCGGAGTACTTAAATGTGAACATACAATCATGTAATTAGAACTCAATATTTATTGTGGTGAACGTGGTTGGTGATAACTGGAATGACGGAAAAATAACTCACACGAAGCACTAACAGTCTATTGCACCGAGAAACGGACGCTAACCTCGATTTGCATAACCACTGCGTCTATTAAACAGCTGTGTTGCATGCGCATGCGCACTCACAGTTAGATTTCTCTGGAATCACCGAAGCATGTTCGTGTTTTATCGGAACAACTTCGAGAGTACCCGAAATTAAATTTTGTTACGCCAAGTTGGTTCGTACGTTTTCGTTGTTAGTTTTAAACGCTGGCAAATAGCACTTCCGGGATCAAAAAGGTCGATAAGTTTGCGGCACATTTCCATAACAATGGCATCCAAACGAACACTGACCGACTTTTGGGGAGGAAATGATTTGGAGAAAAAATCTCAGGAGCAATGTTCTGCGTCAGAAATGAGAAAAGATAGAAAACTTGCTACTCCTCGACGCAAAATAAAATCAGAATGGTTTTCACGCTACCCGTGGTTGAAGTACGATTCTGAAAAACAACTGTTCTTTTGCAAATCGTGTATTGCAGCAGGTAGAAGCAATATCTTCACCACAGGTAAACGATCAGAAAATCCAAAAGCAGACGATTTTTCAAAACATGAAAAAAGTAATGATCATAAGTTCGCTGTGACAGCAGCGGACTCTACTGTTAATGAAGAGATGCCCCGAGCAGCGACGAATGCGTACAGTGCCGTCAAAGAGGCTATTGTGGCAGCCATGAGGAGTGTTTACTTTGTTGCAAAAGAAGATATTGCGAAAAGGAAAGTGAGATCTGTTCAGGATTTTTGCAGAATTCAGGTGAATGATTGTAGATATTTTATTGGTTTCTGTGTTTTTTAATTACTTGTAAATTCAAAATGTATACGGAATATTTTTATTTGTGTGGAATATCATGTAATCAGTAGCACGAGGTTTAATTTACATTTCTAAATAAAATAGCAATATTTTTCTTTTCTTTTTTAATTATTTTCAGGGGTGCAAGTCCTTAGAAATTCTGCGGCATTCAGACAGAGTTTGTTATACGCATAGTACTAGTGTTGACGACTTTTTGGAGTGCATTGCCGAAGTAGTTGAAAATGAAATTATTCGGAAAATGAAGTCAGCAAAATTCTACTCTCTAGAATTAGATGAATCTACAGACATTGGCATTTGCCAAAATCTCATGATCTACATACGTGGTGTAGTAGATGGAAAGATTGAATCACATTTTTTGAGTGTCAGCATGTTATCTAGTGCAACTGCGGAGGCACTTTACGAAGAGGTGAAACATGTTATTGATGACAAGGGCCTACTTCTTTCAAATTTAATTTCACTGGGTACTGACGGTGCCAGTGTTATGACTGGACAGAGAAAGGGATTAACAACTCGTTTTAAAGAGGACAATCCGTTTATTCTGTCACAACATTGCGCTGCACATAAACTTGCCCTAGCCAGTGGCCAAGCTGCAGACTGCATTCCTTACCTTGTTAAATACCAAGCACTTGTTAATGATCTTTATAAATATCATCATTATTCACCCAAGAATCAGAATAAGTTAACTGCTAGTCAGAAAATAATGGGTGAAAGTCAGTTGAAATATCAACAGACATTTAGCACAAGATGGTTATCTTTCTACAATAGTGTTTCAGCAATTTGTAGAACAGTGAGTTCTCTTATCACAGCACTCAAAGACGATGTTGACAATAATAGGAACAATGCCTGTGTGTCTGGACTTCTGAAGAATATTGCCAGATTTGACTTTCTTGCTTTGTCATTTTTTTTGCTTGATGTGTTATCAGTTTTAAACACCACCTGTTTAGCTTTGCAGTCTGATGGTCTTACTTTTACTGAGGTTAAACATCACATTAACGCTTGTCAAAAAGCTGTAGAAGACTTCAAAACTAAAAAGGGTAGAAATTATCAAACTTTTATTGATACTATAACACATGATACTACCAATGATGCTGATTTGCCAACAGAAGTAGAATTTTATGGACATGTTGTAGCTGCCACTAAAAAACAAAGAGACAATTTTGCTAAGACGAGTCAGAAATTTCTTAGTTGTCTCTCAGAAAATTTGGTTAATAGATTCCATGAAGATGATGACCAAATCAGTTTAGCCTTTGATATTCTGGTACCTTCAAAACTACCAGACAATGAAGACCAGATTGCAGAATATGGTACAGCTGAAATAGAAAAGTTGAGTGAGTTTTTTGGTACAGAAAAGGCAAGTACCACATGTGTGGACCCCCCAGTATGCAAAACAGCTGTAATTAATGAATGGTCTATTTTCAAACATGTGATGCACAAGTATAGACAGCAGTCTTTCACAGATTTTTGGGAGTGGGTTTTGAATAAATATAAATCTGCTTATCCAAATATTTGTATTTTAGCAACTATATGTCTAACATGTCCAGTGACTTCTGTTAATGTGGAAAGGGGTTTTTTTCGTTATAATATTGTGAAAACAGCACTGAGAAATTCTTTGTACACAAAGAGTGTCAACACGTTACTGATGGTTAAAATTGAGGGTCCGGACCTCACTGAGTTTAACTTTGATAACAGTTTTCAACTGTGGTGTTCTAAGAAAGATAGGAGAGCACTTAAACCAACATTTCAACAGAAAGTTCATGTGGAGGAGGCTGATAAAACCATGTATTCTAGAGAGGATGTTGGTTTCATGATGGAGTATGTTGCCTCCAAATGTCTTGATATTCAACAAGGAGAGGAAACATGTGACGATGAAAAATAAAGTACATTGTAAAATGAAATCATATTTTAGTGTCTCCTTATTTTTGTTTTTATTCCTTTTCAAATTTCCAACAATTAATTTTCTGACTAACCAGAATTGAAAATGGCTAAGAAAAAATGAATCTGGCTAAAGTAATGGCTAAAGTTTGTATTTTGGTAAAGGGAGCCCTGGTAATATGTACAACGAAAATTTGAACCAATTCGCATCAGTATTTCTCATGTTATAGATGAAATAATTTTCTCAATTTCTGACAACAGATTCTATGATGTCATACTTTACCCATAATCCTTTGCTTGAGAATCAAGATGGCTGACTACTTATTAACGATGAAAAGTTGAATATCTAGAGAATGAAAACTGTTATAAAAAAAGTGTAAATTGCATTCTCCTACATTTGTGGAGCTTTTTTCTTTAGGAGTCATTATGTTGTTTGGATTGAGGTTCTCTTTAATTTCTCTGTAATTGGCTACAGTTGGAAAGTGAATAAAGCTCATCACGAGGCACAGAGTCTTA